CCTCTGCACCCTTTCCAATGCTTCCACATCCTTCCTATAATGCGGCGACCAGAACTGTACGCAATACTCCAAGTGCGGCCGCACCAGAGTTTTGTACAGCTGCAACATGATCTCATGGCTCCGAAACTCAATCCCTCTACCAATAAAACCTAACACACCGTACGCCTTCTTAACAACCCTATCAACCTGGGTGGCAACTTTCAGGGATCGATGCACATGGACACCGAGATCTCTCTGCTCATCCACACTACCAAGAATCTTACCATTAGCCCAGTACTCTGTATTCCTGTTACTCCTTCCAAAGTGAATCACCTCACACTTTACTGCATTAAACTCCATTTGCCACCTCTCAGCCCAGCTCTGCAGCTTATCTATGTCCCTCTGTAACCTGCAACATCCTTCCGCACTATCCACAACTCCACCAACTTTAGTGTCATCCGCAAATTTACCAACCCATCCTTCTACGCCCTCATCCAGGTCACTTATAAAAATGACAAACAGCAGTGGCCCCAAAACAGATCCTTGCGGTACACCACTAGTAACTGAACTCCAGGATGAACATTTCCCATCAACCACCACCCTCTGTCTTCTTACAGCTTGCCAATTTCTGATTCAAACCGCTAAATCACCCTCAATCCCATGCCTCCGTATTTTCTGCAATAGCCTACCATGGGAAACCTTATCAAATGCTTTACTGAAATCCATATACACCACATCAACCGCTTTACCCTCATCCACCTGTTCGGTCACCTTCTCAAAGAACTCAATAAGGTTTGTGAGGCACGAGCTACCCTTCACAAAACCGTGTTGACTATCCCTAATCAAATTATTCCCTTCTGGATGATTATAAATCCTATCTCTTATAATCCTTTCCAACACTTTACCCACAACCGAAGTAAGGCTCACTGGTCTATAATTACCAGGGTTGTCTCTACTCCCCTTCTTGAACAAGGAGACAACATTTGCTGTCCTCCAGTCTTCTGGCACTATTCCTGTAGACAATGACGACATAAAGATTAAAGCCAAAGGGTCTGCAATCTCCTCCCTAGCATCCCAGAGAATCCTAGGATAAATCCCATCCGGCCCAGGGGACTTATCTATTTTCACACTTTCCAGAATTGCTAACACCTCCTCCTTATGAACCTCAATCCCGTCTAGTCTAATAGCCTGTATCTCAGTATTCTCCTCGACAATATTGTCTTTTTCCTGTGTGAATACTGACGAAAAATATTCATTTAGCGCCTCTCCTATCTCTTCGGACTCCATGCACAACTTCCCACTACTGTCCTTGACTGGCCCTAATCTTACTCTGGTCATTCTTTTATTCCTGACATACCTATAGAAAGCTTTAGAGTTTTCCTTGATCCTACCTGCTAAAGACTTCTCATGTCCCCTACTGGCTCTTCTTAGCTCTCTCTTTAGGTCCTTCCTGGCTAACTTGTAACTCTCAAGCGCCCTAACCGAGCCTTCACGCCTCATCTTTACATAAGCCTCCTTCTTCCTCTTGACAAGAGATTCAACTTCTTTAGTAAACCACGGTTCCCTCGCTCGACCACTTCCTCCCTGCCTGACAGGTACATACTTATCAAGGACACGCAGTAGCTGTTCCTGGAACAAGCTCCACATTTCAATTGTGCCCAGCCCCTGCAATTTCCTTCTCCATCCTATGCATCCTAAATCTTGCCTAATCGCCTCATAATTGCCTTTCCCCCAGCTATAACTCTTGCCCTGCGGTATATACCTATCCCTTTCCATCGCTAAAGTAAACGTAACCGAATTGTGGTCACTATCACCAAAGTGCTCTCCTACCTCCAAATCTAACACCTGGCCTGGTTCATTACCCAGTACCAAATCCAATGTGGCCTCGCCTCTTGTTGGCCTATCTACATACTGGGTCAGGAAACCCTCCTGCACATATTGGACAAAAACTGACCCATCTAAAGTACTCGAACTATAGCGTTTCCAGTCAATATTTGGAAAGTTAAAGTCCCCCATAACAACTACCCTGTTACTTTACATTTGCAAGTTCTGTGACCTCTTGCCAATACAACTTGATGCATGACAATACATCAAATAATTCTATCATAATTAGCCCACTAACTAGCAATAATAACTCAATCTGAAAGGAACACTACCATTCCTGAATCTGGAGTTACCCTCAATATGTCATTATTTGAAGTTGCACAACATCTATTACCAGCATCTTGGCAGTAAACGTTCATTATCTCACATGCAGACCATTTGGGATGTAATTGACATACCGTAAAGACCATATGTTTTGATTTAACATTATTTTTAGTTCTGGACTGAATTGGAACAAGGACAAAGGAATGAGGAAGGAATTGCTACATTATAACTCAGGGTGTACAGTGTTTACACTGTTGCTCAAGCAGTAGGGGAAGAATTTGTAACAGTCCAGTTCAGGGGCAGGGAGTCTCTGAACAGAGTGAGTTTGGGCCAGCAACATGCTGCTGATTGGCTTGTGAAGTTGTGACTTAAGAATTCCAGTTTGACAATAACTATCCAATTGTCTTCTGTGTAGCAAATAGCCTTTGGACTGCTGAAAGGGCAGATGTTGTCTGTGCCCGTCTCTCCAGCAAAATATTTAAAGCCTGAACAAAGCCAGTTATTTTCTAACACTAGTTACTGTAAACTGTTACTTTCAAATTCTAAAGTCCCTGACCTATTGGTTGTGAACCAATCACTCTTTGCCAGCTGAAAAGAATTGAAAGAACTGAAGGATTTGGGAAACCAAAGGAACTCTTGCATCAAATCCTGAGGAATCTTAGAATCCCTACAATGTGGAAGCAGGCCGTTCGGTCCATCAAATCCACACTGAACCTCCCAAGAGCATCCCACCCAGGGTTATGGGGATAGAGTAGGGGGATGGGTCTGTGGGTTTGGAGTCAAATGTAGGCCAGACCATGTAAACATAGCAGATTTTCTTCCCTAAAGGATATTTGTGAACCAGATAGGTTTTTGTGACAATTGACATGGTTACATGGTTACCAACACTTTTTAGTTACAGATTTTTATTTGTGAGAATGTTGTCAAAACTGGAAAAAAATCAGTTATGAGAAAGATTGGGATCGTTTTCCTTGGAACAGAGATGAAAGGAGATTTTATTGGGGTATACAAAATGGAAAGGGACACAGACAAAGTGGATGGGAAAGGCCTATTCATCAAAGAACAGGGACAGGTGACGAGGAAGCACAGATTTAAAATTATTGGTAGAAAGATTAGATAGAGATGAGGAAATATTGTTTCCATCCAGAGGGCAGTATGGGTCTGGAACTTTATCTGAAAAGGGTAGTAGGGCAGTAACCTTTAATTTATTTCAAAGGTATCTGGATGTGCACCCCACATGTAGTTATGAGCAGGGCTACACACCAAATGCCAGAAAGTGGGATTAGGTTGGGTAGTTTGTTTTTTTTAGTTGGCACAGACATGCGGACCCAAGTTGTCTTTGTTCTGTGCTGTAAACTGTCTATGATTCTAATGAAATAATAGTCACAAACTCTATGGATGCCCATCTGAAATTTCATTTCCTATTTTTTTAGCAGTGGTGTTCATCCATTTTTAGATAGCTTAAAGTTGTTGTTGGTTTTCTATCTTTAAACTTTTGCTATAGGACAAGTTGTTGTATAACCGCAGATACATTACGGAACTAATAGTCTGAACTTAAAACAGCACATGAGTCCATAATCTCACCAAGGCAGTTTGTCAATCTGAATTTAGTTCAAACAAACCTGGAAATGAAAGTCTGGTATCAGTAAAAGGAAAGCTCTAAGATCCCTATCATGTTGTTAAAAAGCTAAGTGGTTTATTAGTGAAGAATACCTATAGCCCTTTCCCAGTCTCACCAATATATAATTTAGGTCCAGCAGAATCACAGTTAACTGTCCTCATCTACAAATTAATTTAAAAACTGTTAACATCATTTCTCAAGTACCAAAGAGAGGGCTTCTAATCGATATGTTAAGTATTTATATTACACTGTTCAATAGCATAACATTATGATATAATTTTTCAGACACCAATGAAAACATAATTTTATTCAGAAATAACTCCACCCCAACGAAAAACATCCCTAACTCTCCTAGTGCCTTCATGTTATCACCGACTACAGAATTGGAAATATCAGTGCAGATTAAACAAATTCATGCAACAGGTACGTACACAGGGAGATATGTGGAAAATCTTTCAAGACCTCGTGACCTCTGAAACCAAAGACCCAGTGTGACTCCCAGCACTCAGAGATTTGCACTAAAAAGCATGATTTTTAACATCTATTCTAGACTTTGAATACAACAAGTTACATTTATATAGTGCCTTTAATGCAGAAGCACTATTCAAGGCCCTTCACGGAAATGTCAAAGCAAAATGTTACACCAAATCATCGAAGGGGAAAGAAGTCAATGTCCAAAAGCATATTTAAAAAGGTAGGTTTTAATAAGCATCTTGAAGGACGAAAGTGAGGTAGGGAAATTGAGAGCTGAAATTTCAGTGCTGCCACAGATTGGCAATGAATAATTAATATTTCCATCCTATAACTTGACCGCCAATATAATATTCAGTCACAGTAAATAAAAGTACAATAAATCAAAAGCCTAGGACCGTTTTTACAGCAATTCTTGGTCCGGTACACCACAGCCTCTCTCTACTTACACAAAGGATTTCCAATAAACCTGCCGGCATTGATGCATGGCAAAGTTTCATTGGCATTCCCAAGAAAGAAATATTCCAACAACCTGCAAGCCTACATTTCTTCGAGGCATACATCACTCGTATAAATGTGATGAAAGGCAAGTCAGGTGGCTCAGTGAAGCAGTACTTTACAGTAACAACATGGTGGACCAGGGATGATAGAATCCAAAGAGAAGGAGAACTGAAAAGAGATCTCCCTTCCCTTGCTAAGATTACCCACACAGATCATTTACATTCATAGCTTGTACCTCCATATTAATGTGCAAAATACAAAAGCTGTACAAAGTACTTACTCATGTGATCTAATTGACTGCATAGGACTGAGGGCTGAAGAAGATACCTCATTGATGCAGCCATCTAATTCAAACTCTTGCTCACATTTTATCGCTTTCATCATCATGGGATCTTGTTCACCAGAATTAAGCAGCTGACCTAGCAAACAGAAAACAAAAGGAAACATTCATCAAAAACAAGAATTTTTAAGCCATGTAGTAACATATTGCACATGAAGAAAAGGTCCTTAATATTCGGCAGTGATCAGTATCGCCCCCATCCTCACTTTTACATTACTTATTGTAATTTGGTGACAGTGAAACAACAGCAAAATCTACTTCCAAGGTGGTGTCATTCATATTTACCTCCACGTGGATGGGTACAAAGTTGCATGTGCTGTTGCCTGGAAATATGTCGAGCACCAGAAATCGCACATTGTATGAGAGGATCTGGGGAGGTAAAAGTATATGAAAAAGGTTAAAGTCGTCAATAAAGTAAACGATGAATCACATTTGAATGTTTATTTCCATAATGTTATAAAGGATGTTAGGCTGGTTTCTCTGCTATCTCATCCCAATGTAGGTGAGATAGTGGCGAAAATAGTGGCAAAATGCAGTATTGAGGTCTACCATCTCCTCCTAGCCTTACCCTCTGTTTCATTCCATTTGTCCAAAATGACTACCACTCCTTCACTACCCGCTGTATGTAAATACTAGCAGGGCTGTGGGTGGGGACTGCTTAAGGACCTGCCTTTCAATCTCAATTCCCTCCCATCCATTTCTATTATTGCTGCACCTTGGGATTGTCTGGCAGATGGTAACGTGAGGTGCAGGTCACCATGGCTCCAACATGCAGGTCTCGTGGAAAAAGACCCAGGCAAGACCTTTGTCTTCCAATCTTCCCCCTTTGCAGGATTATGTCTGTCTCTGTAGACTTACAAATGTGCAACTCCTTCCTTCAAAAAACTCCTTTCCTCTTAAAGACCGTCACAGATGCTGCACTGCTCAAAATCTCCTTTTTAACCATGATGGGCTCCATTGCGGTGCGAGAATCTCATCAGCCTATAAATTAGATCCAGGAAATTTGGTGAAAGTTATGGGGGAACCAAACAGGAATGGACCTAGACCCGAAACGTTAACTCTGATCTCTCTACACAGATGCTGCCAGACCTGCTGAGCTTTTCCAGCAATTTCTGTGTTTGTTTCTGATTTACAACATTCACAGTTCTTTAGGTTCTAATAGAAAAAGGCAAACTTCTGTGGCTTCCTCAGATGTTACAATGAGTTCCCCAATGAGTGCACTTACCATGTTGATTATTTCTCATCTCATCCTTTATCATAGTGGGCACCATTATGGGTTGCGTGTACACAACAGGTTGTACGACCACTGGGTGAATAACCGAGTACAAGCCCGAGCCTGGGATCCCCGAGCGGGATAACAACGGAGCAGTCAGAACTGTAGGGATGGTTAATGGCATGCTGATAGGAGGCTGAGGTGATCTCTTATTGGGCGAACTGCAACGTGATATGCTCATCGTAGGAGATGAAGAAGTTAGCATAGTCATTGAATAGGGGGAGGAAGGGGAGCTCGACATATGTGGAGAGTGTCTTTTGTTCAGCGATAGATCGACTGGTTCAGTTTGGCTGCCATTAGCCTCAAGTGATTGGAAGAGTCCACTGTGGCAGCCATGGAGCGGTGAGTAAATAACACTGTGTTTATTTTCAGGTTTAATATCGTTCTTTATTCGGACCCTGTACCCCTGCTGGAATGGCTGCAAAACAAACAAGGAAAATTATTAAAATAAATATAAAACTCCAACTCTGAAAATCACTCAAGTGAATCATTCTAGTCTCCAACTACTTTGTGAAGCAGTAGTAATGATATCCCTGCATTTCACACTGCTGAACTTAAGTATCTGTGACTGTTGAATTCAGGAATCAAAGTGTTTAACTACTTTAATGGCACAATTGATAATGGTAGAGTGTAGCTAAACCACATATATTCATTTCCCAGACTCTGTAATTAGTTGATCTCAGCTTTGACATTGATCAGGGACACTAAAATTTGCCTGAGCACTCTCCAGAAAGAAACTGCCATAACCTTTTTCATAAAATGACTTCTTCTTTAAATTTTTATGAACTTAACATACAAACCAGGCAGAGCTTTGACCCTATATCAATGTAGAGACACTTACACTGTTGGGATCTGCAGGAAGTATCACCTGCAGCACAAGCTGGGTCTCAGTACTTGAATAGAGGCTGGAGTCCCTTTTGTGTATCCATGGGGATTATGTGGAAACATGTTTAGGAAGGTGGCCACACCACATGGTTAGAAATATACAGAAGTAAGGGAATGGGTGACTACCAGGCAACCGAAGAGAATCAGAAACGCATCGCAGGAGTTTAATGTGTTTGCTAATCGGTATTGCATTTTGGATACTGGTGAAGGCGATGGCTCCTCTGTAAAGTACACCAGAACCAAATCAATGGCACCTTGGCACAAAAAGTGGTTCAGCTGTACAGGTAGAGGGGAGAAGGTAAGGTGGGTGAGGGGAAAGGGAGGTGGAAGCAGAATGGAACAGCCATAGTAATAGAGGATTCCATACTCAGGGGATTAGACCCATATTTCTGCAGCTGCCAACATTACTCCAGGATGGTACGGTGGCTCCCAGGTGCCAGGCTAAAGGATGTTCTGGGGAAGGTAATCAGCCAGCAGTCATGGTCAACGTTGGTAGGAATGGGGGTGAGAGTCTGAAAGCAACTTTCAGGGAGCTAGGTTGCAAGTGAATGGCAGGACACCTGAAGCAACAGTCTCAGGATAATCCAGTCCCACATACAATGCACATAGAAATAGGAGACTAGAATGACTGAACATGTGGCTGGAAAGCTGGTGGAGGAGAGTGGGCATTGGGACCAGCTTTGTGGAAGGTGGGACCCGTACAGATTGCATACACCTTGACAGAACTGGGATAAATATTTTCACAGGTAGATTTGCAAGTGCTGTTGGCAAGATTTTAAACTAGATTGGTGGGGGGTGGGAACCTGAGGGAAAATTCAAAGGAGCAAACAGGAGGCAGAGGCAGAAACAGAGAGTGATTCTGAAAAGACAGAGGAAGCAGAGGTTTAAAAATTGGCGGTATTAAAAGGTATGTATTTAAATTGGAGGAATGCAAAAATTTGGTATAAAGAGGTAAGGATGACAGCTCAACACCTCAGGATGTAGAGATTTCAGTCAAAATAGAAAAGACAATAGAAAAAGTGAAGGTGAAGAATTACTACAGCTGTGAGGAAGGATCAAATGAGGTCATATGGTTAGAGATTAGCAACAAAAAAAGGGCAACCACACTACTAGGTGCACACTTTAGACACACAAACGGTGAGGGAGTTAGAGGATCAAGTATGTAGGCTAACTTTAGAGTGCTAAAACACAATAGGGCAATAATAGTTGGGTATATTAACTACTGAAATATCACTGGGATATAAACGGTGTGAAATTTTCAAACAGCACAAATTGTTGAACTGCATTCAAGAGAACTTTATCAGTGAACACATATGAATCCAAAGAGACACTGCACAATTCTAGATTTAGTCTTAGGGAATAAAGTTGGGCAGGTGCATGAAGTAGCAGTGAGTGACAATTTTAGAGATAGTGATCATAATTCAGTTAGATTTAGCATTGTTATGGAAAGGAACAAAGGAATAAAAGTTGCAATTTAGGGGAAAGCAATCTTCACAAAGCTGATTGACGATCTGGCAAAAGTGGATTGGTTACAGCTACTTGAAGGAAAGTCAGTGATAAATCGGTGGGTACATTCAAGAGCAAGAATTCTGCAGGCACAGTGTAGACTTGTCCAACAAAGAGAAAGGGTGGTACTGCCAAATCTAGTGTCCTCTGGTCAACCAGAAGCATACAGCATAATATAAAGGAGAAAAATACAGCTTATGACAATTCCAAAAAACAAATGCTTTAGGGTGCTCAAAACAGTACAGAAAGTAGAGAGGTGAAGTGAAAAAGGAAATTAGGAAAGAAATCAAAAGGATACGAAAAATCTTGGCTAGTAAAATTATGGAAAATTCAAATGTATTTTACAATATATTCTGAGCAAGCGTGACAATGGAAAGGTTGAGCCTATGAGGTAACCCATGCATAGAACATGTAGAAAATGAGTGTTTTATTTCTGTCTTCGCAAAGGAGAGGGAGGTTGCTGACACTAATTAAAGAAGACTGTGAAATATTAGATAAAATAAGCATAATGATAAACGAAGTATTGGAGGGGCTGAACTGCTTGAAGGTGGATAAATCACCAGGGCCTGGTGAGTTTGTTCTAGATAACACAGTGTGGAGCTGGACCAAAGTTGTAGCTGCAATTCACCAATAAAGGAGAAGAATTAACAGTCATCTTGGAATACTGCATAACTGATATTGGTATGACACTGTGCTTACGAAAGCCCTGTTTATGCTGGCCCTTGTTTTGTGAGTGCATCACTCTGACTGACCTAGTTGAAAAGAACTTTGAAGAGAGAGTTCAAGAGGGCGTGAAACCGTGAACCGTTAAGAAGCCCAACTCGCTTGCTTGGAGCCGGGCGAGGAATGAGGGCCTAGTGGGCCACTTTTGGTAAGCAGAACTGGCGCTTACTCTTTCAATTATATCTTTTATCCTTTCTATTGTTAAACTGTTCAAAATGGTGCCAGATTGTGGTCACTGCTGAAGCTTTTCATAGTATTTTACTGTATTATTCACTGTAAAATGCAAGTGATAATAAATAAATCATTCATGTGATTCCTAAGGGGTAAAAATTTAAGGCGATTGGGAAAAGGATTTGAGGGGATATGAGGAAAATGTTTTTCACCCAGAGGGCCGTGTCCGTCTGGAATTCCCTAAAAAGATTGGTGGTTGAGGTGAAAACCCTGAACTCATTTCAAAAGAACCTGGATCTGCACTTGAAGCACTGCAACCTGCAAAGGCTAGGGGTGAGGTAGGATTCGAATGGGTAGCTAGTTTATTCAAACACAAGGGGCTGAATGGTCTCTTTTTGTGCACCAGTCCTTCTATGGCTCTAAGCTCAAATGTCGTAATGCATTTATCTTGAAACTTTCTTTCCACTATGTTAACAGATGTGTCTCCCAATAAATATTTACCAGGTGAGGTCTATATCCACTTGCAATGAGGTTTGTTACATTTGAATTTAAAGGGAAACAGTAGCAAAAACAGCTTGAATCGAATGGAGGAACAAGTTTCCCTAGCAGAGATGTCAATTCAAGATGGCAATGGAGTAGCAGGGCATTGTGCAGGCAGCACAGTGACTCAGTGGTTAGCACTGCTGCCTCACAGCGCCAGGGACCTGGGCTCGATTCCAGCTTTGGGCGACTGTCTGTGTGGAGTTGGCACATTCTCCCCGTGTCTTTGTGGGTTTCCTCTGGGTGTTCTGGTTTCCTCCCACAGTCCAAAGATGTGCAAGTTAGGTGGATTGGCCATGCTAAATTACCTATAATGTTCAGGAATCTGTAGTTAGGTGGGATATCCATGGGAAATGCAGGGTTATGGGGATAGATAAGGGGGATGGGTCTGGGTGGGATGCTCTTCAGAGGATTGGTGTGGACTTGTTGGGCTGAATGGCCTATTTTCACACTGTAGGGAGTCTATATATAAAAACAGCTAAAATTCAAAGGGTTTGGGAACATGCGTTGGATTTAAATTAGAAACTGTAACAAAACTTGGAGCAATTTTGAAGGTGAAGTTAGATGTGCCATAGTAAACCCATGAGAAAAAGGAGCAATGTGTTTACAACAAACGTTACCAGATCTCAGGATTGAGTAGCACAGTGGTTTAGCACTTTTAGTAGCTGAATATCTAAAACATTCCTTCACTTGCTAACAGATGGAATAAAGATCATTTAAAGTCAACAAAGGAATAGCTACTAGAGTGAAACAAAAGACATAATAAAATGCAGTGGAAGAATTTGGCCCATTGAAGAGGAATGGTCTTCATGTTAAGTGCTCCACATGCCTTGATTTACGTCCTTTGACTCCTCCTCAAAATCAAGTTCATCAATTTCATAGCGTAATCACTGCTGCCCTTTTGCCACTGAATATCACCCATCCTCCACCTTGTCACAGGCTCTCACTTTTGTTCTTTCCTCTTTTACCCATCCCTGTTTTAAACCTATTACATTTCTCACTATTGTTTCGTTGAAAGAAACTAACTTCAACTGTTCTGTTTCCATAGGTACTGCCAGACATGAATATTTTCTGTTTTTATTTCAGATTTCCAGCAGTTTCTCAGGGCACTATGAGATGATGACATAAATCCCACAGAAATGTGTTTCTGTATCACAACAATATCACAAGTTGCTGCCTGTTATGGCCATTAGATTGCAAACGACATAGTTATGCCATTTGGTATCTCTTCTCAGCGATTGAAATGTTGCTCCTTTAAAAACTGAATGTCATGTTAAAATACAGATTGGCAGATTGCCAGATTTATCAATCCATTTGTTTTCTGGAATGTCTGCTGCAATTCATAGATGTGAAGAGTCTGATAAAGTCAATAGCAGAATGAATATAGATTGCTTTACGTTAAACTAGTGACATAAATTGATTTTTAGATAGTTGTCCAGTTTTGTTTTATTCTCTCAGAATATGCACCCAGCTTTTATATCATAAGAATAGGCTCCTGTATCCTCAGGTCTTTTATACTTTTACTTGTTTCCTACATTACAATAATGGCTCTACCTCAAAAAGAACTTAATTAGCTGTGGAGCACTATATGGG